GAGGTTGGTTACAAAGTCAAAAGTTGCCTTTTATATGAAAGATCTGATTGACGGAAGAAGGGGTTACTGTTCATACTGTCAGATGGTTCCATGAAAAGATGCCACCACTTCTCCTAGCAATGTGTACTTCAGTGTGTACGTGAGATGACATCCTGACTCTGATTTACTTTAAAAACACTTCTGCAAAGAAAAGGCAGAAAGGGACCCAGGAAGCAAAGGGAGAAAACTCTGGATAAGGGTTGGCGTGGGGCAAGGGGTGGGGATGGGGGTTGTTGTCTTTTTTTTCACTACTATTATGTATGGAAATGTTCATAATAAGGTTTTCCAAACTGGACGCTCAGTCCTTCAGAAAAGGATGTCAGTGCTCTCTGCCAATAAGGGACAGAACTGGGCATTCATGAATTTGATACCGATTTACATAGCAGGGTGCGTATGTGCACATGTGTGTGCATGTGTGGGGAGGAAGGAAACAATTAAAAATTGCCTCTTAATTTTTTTTGGCGGGGGGGGTCTGTGAACCTTTTTAAGAATCGGATGGAAAAGTTATGAACACTGCACACACACACAAGCACAAAAAAGAAAAATCCCACAAATGTGCACTCTGGGGTTCACTGATCCCCTTAAAAACTACCCCAACCCCTGGTAAGAACTCCTAGATCAGTGCATGTTTTCCATTTCTAAGATATCAATAGACTGCCTTTTCTAGGTACACTGAACAGGTAAATAAGCTGCTGGTAACAAGAAATCCTTAGATTTTTTTTTTAAGAAACCCTCAAATCTTTCTTAAAACAAGCAAAACAAGCCACTGCCACTGGCTGGCTTTGGGGCTCTGGTCAAATGACTGCAGACATCGAGTCTCAATTTTCCCATTGGGAAAATGGGCTAACACCCCCTCCTCATCTATGAATTGTTCTGAGGTTAGAACATGATGGAAGTGTGACGTTATACACCAAATATAGATTGTGGGCCTCACCTTCCAATGGGGCCAGAGCTGTCACTACCATGGAGAGAGGTGACTCACTGCTTCTTGAAAAGGATATGATGGCAGGAGCACATGGCCTGGGGCTTCAATTTATTCTGAGGGATCCCCCGCAGGAGGAGGAAGCCTTAGGAATTGCCTCCAGCCAAGACCACGTTCTGGAAGTCCCTTGCTCTTCCTGAGAGGATTAGGGACACCTCCGAGGTTACGAAGCCCACAAGCCCCTCACCAGGCTCCCAATCCACATCATGGCTGACAACCAAGACACAAGGTCATTCCATGAACACCAAAGAATCCTCTCCCGCACCCCCAGCCCCAGACTGCAGGACAGCAGGGACCCTTTGTCTGTAACCTGGAAAAGGGAGACTATTGTCCTAGCCTGTTTTCTGTTGCTTATAACAGAATACCTGAGACGGGGTGATTTATAAAGAAACAATTTATTTCTTACAGTTCCAGAGGCTGGGAAGTCCAAGGTTGACGGGGTGCACCTGGTGAGGACTTCTTCCTATTGGGGACTCTTCGGAGTCCTGAGGTGGCATAGGGCATCACTTGGCGAAAGGGCTGAGTGTGCTAAGTGCCTACTCTCTCTCCTTATAAAGCCTCCAGCCTGCTCCCACGATGACCCATTCATCCATTAACCCACTAATCTATGAATGGGTTCATCTATTTATGAGGACAGAGTCCTCACTATCCAATCACCTCTTAAAGGCCCCACCTTTCAAATACCACAGTCACATTCCCCACCCTCTTAACACTGTTACAATGGGGATTACGTTTCAACATGAGATTTGGAGGGGACATTCAAACCGTAGCAAATTATCAAGGGCTCAGGACGTCCTGGGTTGATTTCTACATTCTTCCAAACCTGCCATGAACCTCAATTTATGGTTCATTTTTAATCTCATGAACTAATGCCCCGGGATGAGTCTATGTGACAAAATATCTGAGCCAGAAACACTGTCTTTAAAAAATAAATCTATCTCCAGAAGATCAGGGTCAATACCAGCCATGGTAAGTCATGTTGACAGTATGTACCTTTGATGTGATGTGAAGTTTGTTAATTGTGTCAATGTAGCACATAATGCGAGATGTTAAAAAACAGAAATTGTGTGAGAGGTTTCTAGGAACTTTTTGTATCACGCCTGTGATTTTTTTTGCACATCTAAAACTGTCCCCAAAATACTAAAAGTGGTTAAAATGCAAAAACAAATGATTACCTCTCAGAACGATTGCCTGGCTGGGATAAAGCACATGGAATCAGGCAGCTGGCAGCCACTGTGCCGGGTGAGGGGTCAAGAGCCCTTCCCCCACCGGGAAGGAGGAAAGTAAACACCTAGAGACATAGAACACACACTGAGAAGCAACTTCAAAGAAGGGCTCCTTTCTGTGATCAGACTACACGAGAAGGGGCTGGGTCTCTACATGCTGTGATTTCCAGTAAAGGCTAATTCTCAGGCAGAAGGAACATTCTGGGCCTATTTAGACCCGGTGTTGGCATCTTGGCCCCCTTCTGAGCCTACTCAGTTATGGGGTCAGAGGGTCTCTGCTGTGTTTCTCTGGTGCTATGGTTTGAACGTTCTCTCCAAAACTCATGTTGAAATTTAATTGCCATTGTGATGGTATTAAGTGGTAGGGCCGTTAAGAGGTGATTAGGCTGGCCATGGGGGCTCTGCCCTCGTGAGTGGATTAAGGCCGTTATCACGGGAGCGGGTTGTTATAAAAGCAAGTTTGGCCCTCTTCTGCACTCTTGATCACTCTGGCCCTCTCCTGCCTTTCCACCTTCACCATGGGATGATGCAGCATGAAGGCCCTCGCCAGGTGCTGGCGCCATGACCTTGGACTTCCCAGCCTCCAGGACCATAAGATGTAAATTTCTGTATAAATGGGCCGGCCCGGTGGCGCACTGCTACAGTGCGCCACTTGGGGGTGCGGCGGCGCTCCCGCC